TCCACGCAATTAAAAAACAAATAAACAGTACATATAAATAGAAATAATTCTAATACTTAGCTTAGCTATAATAGGTTAGCTATGATTTATGATTATAATATCATTGCTCGAAGCTTATAACTCTTAAATATTATTTGTTAAGTAAAATATAACACTACTACTAACTAAAATAGTAACTCCGCCATTGCCGGTCCCAAGCCCGGATGCAAAAGGAGGAGGGTTAGTCCAGAGAGTATTGACCGTAAAACCAATATGAGCTAACACGCGCAGTAAGGCTACCAGGAGCCGTGAACCATTCGTTCAGAAAGTCTGGCTCTATGGGCACGGACACATATGATGGCAGCCCCATCACTCGTGACGGGACTCTGTCGGGCTAAACACCTGTTCTTAAATTTAAATAGTTTATGAAACCCAAAGCAAGTAATAACCGGAACCCTTTAACAACGACTTTTGGCGCGAAATTACGGACACGAATTGGGTGTTGGAATGTAAGGACCATGACTCGACTTGAACGGCTACCCCAAGTGGCTAAAGTCATGCAAGAATACAACATTCACATTCTTGGATTGAGTGAGACGAGATGGAACGCTTTTGGAGAAACGCAATGTGATTTTGGATACTCGTTATTGTACAGTGGTAAGGAAGAGGATGCGACCCGAGAGTATGGCGTGGGTTTGCTGCTAAGTCGCAGCGCTAAAAGTAGCTTACTCTCTTGGAAGCCAGTCTCGGAACGAATAAAATGCGCCAGATTCTCGACACGAGTACGGAAGGTGACAGTGATACAATGCTACGCTCCCACTAACTCTGCTTCGACCGATGTAAAGTCACAATTCTACGAACAGCTGGGGCATACACTCAAAGGCATCATGAAACAAGATATCGTGATTCTCATGGGCGACATAAATGCGAAGATGGGAAATAACAATGTAGACCGCGAATATTACATGGGACAATATGGGGCAACCGGAACTATTAACGAAAACGGAGAACTTTTCGGTGATCTATGTTCCACACATGGTCTAGTTATTGGAGGTACCCTATTTAAGCATAAGGAATGTCATAAAGTTACATGGATATCACCGGACGGAAAGACAAAGAACCAAATCGATCACGTAGCTATCAGTAAGACATGGCGCTCTTCTCTTCTTGATGTGCGAAATAAGCGTGGCGCAGACATTGACAGTGATCACCATCTGGTGGTAGCGGAAGTTCGTCTTAAAATAGCAGTTCCCCACAGAAAGCCAGATAAAGCATCTAGAAAATTTAATATCCGAAAACTGGAAGATAGCAATTGCCGAGAGAAGTTCAGCTTATCTCTCAAAAATAGTTTCGAGCTGCTTAAGGAAATAGAGGATGAGCAGATGGACGAGACGTGGGACCGCATACGTGGTGCTTATAATAAAGCTGCTAAGGAAGTATTGGGGTATACCAATACAAAGCAAGAACCTTGGAT